ATCAACATGCTAATATCGAACTCTATTGGCATGAATTGTTAACTGAATCTATACTTCACATTAATTTAGGTTTAAATATATTTTCCAAGAATACTGTATGTATACCAAAATCAAAGTACTACAGTATACCTGTAAGGTATGTTAGTTACCTGTTAGTTTGCTAGCTATATATGTCTAGCCCACTCTTTAGTTTATGAAAGCATACTTTCAAATAAACTATAACTGCACGTATACCTATAGGTTTTCTTTAAGTTCATTTAACATCATATAGTTAATTTTATCTTACAGTTTACTATTTATTTTTGCACTTTGAGGACACTACAGGTTCCTATTTATACTTAATAAACTTGTTTTTAATGTTTTTAAGTAGACTGTTTTTAAAAGTAACTCCTACTGTACTACAAGTACAGGTCAAATGGTTACACTTTATTTTACAATATATGTACTTACAGTGTACTTACCCAAGAAAGTACTGGGTAGTATATGGTAACTATACATAGGTTAAGGTTAGGTTTAGGGGTAGGTTCAGGCTTGTTACCTAGTTATTACCCAATTATTGTAATTGCTATAATAAGTATATAGTATGTACATGCGGAACAGGACTGTAAAATAAAGTGCTACTGGCCAAATATACTTAGAATCAGTATAAGCCAAGTATACTTAGAAGTAACTTTGTTTAGTATGTTAAGTACATAAAAAGTATACTAAATGTGTACTCCCCCTCTAAATATCTTTTTTGTAAAAGACATAGTGTAGCACAAAATACAAAAGCATTCTAGCAACAAAAATGTATCCAATGATAATACATTTGCAATTTTGTTTTAATAAAACATTTCCAAGACTAGTGGTAGACACCTTTATCACTCATTACTGACATTCACACCTCTGCAGCAAACATATATTTGAGATCATTGATTTTTTTTTTCATAGCTTAATTTAATTTGATTAATTTAAAACTGTTTTATTGTCTGAATCTAATTTGAAGTCGATCATTTATTTTTAGGTGTGTTCAGTTTTGTTTATGCCTGATCTCATTGAGCACCATGTGTGTCAGGGCTGGTAGAGCGTTCCAAATTAGTCACTTATGAGGTTTAATTTCAGTTAATATGCTCATGTGTGTAATATGTAGAGTATGTCCATTTTTATAAATGAAGCACCATCTTTAACGAGCCTTGAAAAAAATGTAAGAACCACACAAAATGTAGCTTTTCATCTGGCACCAGAGATTTTCAGTTTCTCTGGGGCTCTCTCAAATAGAGATAGAGAGAAAAGGGGGGGATTACAGTGAGCTAAATCTCTGGCATGCATTGAGTGCATAATCGCTGAGTGAGCACGGGCCCGGGGAGCAGATGTCTCATAGTTGAGGGGGTAAAGACTCAGGAATTATGTGAGACAACTGCTACACCGTCCTAACTACATGGAGAGGTGGCTTATATGAGAGAATGGGGGATATACTAAGAGAAAAATACGGACACAGCAAGAGATATAGGGGATGCACAGTGATCTGAGGAAAGAGTTGTGAGAGGGAAATAAAGAGAAAGAGAGAGAACGAAATAAAGATTAAAAGGTATAGCCCATGAGGATTGTGGATTACTTCATGACAGGAACCTAAAGCCAAAGCTTAATGGTAACTGATGAGAGAGAAAGAGACTCTAATTATAGGGATGACACTGGGTTATAATGTAAAGTGTGTGTATTATGCAATATTTTACTTATTTAATGAGGAAACTTAAAAAATTAAGATATTTTTGTATAGTCAAATTCTTGTAGAAGGCAATTACAGAATGCACTGCATCAAAAAGTTCATAAAAGTAATCCATATGAATCAACACACAAACATAAGGCACACAGATTATGGTAACCATGCTCAACCATGCTTGCTTGAAGTGCAAAAAAAAACAATATTTGACATGTATGTGTTTTGACCAGTGTTTATATGTGAATAAAAGCTAAAATTAAATCTGCTCATCATATAAATCGATTGTGTCTCTTCAGGAGACTTAGGGGTCATATGATGTTGCTAAAAAGAACATTATTTTGTGTATTTGGTGTAATGAAATGTGTTTATGTGGTTTAAGGTTCAAAAAACACATTATTTTCCACATACTGTACATTATTGTACATATATACACAGCGCATTCACAGAATAAAAGTTATGCCTTCTTTGCGTGAACATTTGGGCGTCGTTATGCAAATCTTCCCACATAGTGATGTAGATATGTGGGGGCGTGTTAGAACAAGACGTTTTAGGTAGGTGTGGCTGACTCTTAACTTTTATAAAGAATATCTCTTTGGATTTGATTTCCCTTTGGAAGGAAAAATTGAAATCGCATCATATGACCCCTTTAAATGATTAGTTCACTTCCAGAATGAAATTTTCCTTACAATTTACTCACCCCCATGTAATCCTAGATGTTCATGACTTTTTTTCTTCAGTTGAAAAAAAAATTAAAGGGTTAGTTCACCCAAAAATGAAAATTAGCTTGTGTTTTACTTACCCTCGTAGCATCCTAGGTGTATATGACTTTCTTCTTTCAGACGAATCCAGTCGAAGTTATATTAAAAATTGTCTTTGATCTTTTAAGCTGTTTAATGGCACTCAGCGGGGCAAAGTTTCCTTACTTTAGCAAAGGAAAACGAGTCTCCTCTTGGTTTATATTGAAATCCTCCGAAATTTTTCTTTGCAAATCTTCAGTTTGTACTTCTAATTCGTGCCCGGTGTTTTGTTTTGTTTTCTCTCTCCGCATTCGTCACTAATCACACAACACGTGCGCGTCTTACGTCATCCGCCGGGAACTGCTTCAGTGTATGACAGTCAGCGGAAGTGAGAGAAAAGTGTTTATTACATTTGAAATATGGATATTTTTCTTACAAAAACTCATGGATTCGCTACAGGGGGCCTTTATTCATCCCCTGGAGCCGTCTGCGGCACGTTTTATTATGAATGCGCGAGCTTTATTTGACGACTTGTGGACTGTTCAACTGCAACACCCGCTGAGTGCCATTAAAATGCTTGAAAGATCAAAGACTATTTTTAATATAACTCCGACTGGATTCATCTGAAAGTTCACCAGGTAGAAGGTCCAAATTGCAGTTTCACTTATCTAGCAAAACGATCAGTCATTTTCACAAAAAAAAAAAGTACAAATTTATATATTTTTTAACCACAAATGCTCGTCTTGCACTAACTCTGTGATGCGCATGTGTGACTTCACGCATTACGTAATCACGTTGGAAAAGTCACACGGAAGTAGTACCGAACTCCATCTGATTTTCTCCTCCAACTTCAAAATCGTCCAACATCATTGTTTTCATTTTTTTACCTTTTTTGTAAAGGCCATTTGATTTACTCTTTGCACGTTCACTTTGTAAACACTGGGTCGGTACTTCCGCCTACGTCACCTGTGACCTTTCCAACGTGACTACGTAATCTGTGAAGCTGTGGATGCGCATCACAGAGCTAGTGCAAGAGAAACATTTGTATTTAAAAAGTATATACTTTTTTTTTTTTTTTTTAGAAAAAAAGACTCTTAAGACTCTGCTTATTCCTCGGCTGGGCTCATGTAGAGCCCTTTGAAGCTGCATTGAAACTGCAATTTGGACCTTCAACCCACTGGTCCCTATTGAAATCCACTATATGGAGAAAAATCCTGGAATGTTTTCCTCAAAAACCTAGTCTCAGTTAGCTTAACGTAGTACACATAGCAAGGTTTTTTTTTAATTATATAATAAATAAAAAGAAAACGGATAGAATAGAAGAAGAATAGAGCAAGCTAGTGTGAGGCCTTTTTTTCTTTTGTTAATTGTATAATAAATAAAAATAAAAGAAATAGATAGAATACAAAAAGAATAGAGAAGCTAGTGTTAGTTTTTTTTTTTTTTTTTTTTTTTTAGAAAAAAAGACTCTTAAGACTCTGCTTATTCCTCGGCTGGGATCATGTAGAGCCCTTTGAAGCTGCATTGAAACTGCAATTTGGACCTTCAACCCACTGGTCCCTATTGAAATCCACTATATGGAGAAAAATCCTGGAATGTTTTCCTCAAAAACCTAATTTCTTTTTGACTGAGGAAGAAAGATATGAACATCTTGGATGACATGGGGGTGAGTAAATTATCAGGACATTTTTATTCTGGAAGTGAACTAATCCTTTAAATCACTTGATTCATATGGATTACTTTTACGATGAACCTTTTGAAGCTTGAAAATTTGGTTGTGTGGACTTTCAGTGGGTGGACAAAAATGATGGGAGAATATTAAAAATATCTTAATTTGCGTTCCAAAGATGAATGAAAGTCTTTAAATGGTTTTGGAACAACATGAGAGTGAACAAATGATGACCGAATTAAAAACAAATTTGTGTGAACTAACATAACTCTTTAATGATAAGAATCATTATTGTGGTAGCAAAGTTTTCATTTAGTGTGCAAGATCAAGGTTCAGATCTTTGCCTTTTTTTTTAATACTTTTTTAATAGATTTAATTTTACAGCCATTGATCACTATGACACTTGACTACAGCATAACGCAGGACGAGGATCATGTGAGCTCCAATAATTTTCCTAATACTGGAAGTTGTGTTAAACATTTTACAAATTTGTTGCACCATTGGACATGCCCACAAAACTCATGATCACCACTATTTGTGTTTCTGGATATCTCATTGTTAAAAATTAATTTCAGTCTTTTTTTTTCAACAATTTTTGTTGCCGTAAATTGCTTTGTGTTTTAACCTGCTCTTCCTCTAAAATGAAGGCTATTTCTTAATGTTAACTGATATCTATTCCAAATCCATTCCTCGCAAATGTTTTAGAGGACTCTGGTATGCATATCTGATTTAATTCACTCCGAAATAAATAATGAAACTACAATGGACTACAAACAGTAATTTACATTGACTTTCACAAGTACAATATTTCAAGTATGTATTTCAATACAGACCCATCTGAAGCCAAAAAGAAAATAGGAACAGGAAAAATGAATATAAAGAGAAAAGGCAGTACCTTGATATGTTTGACTCCACAGCTCACTAGCTTACTTTGCTGATACAGGTCCCATGATATGTCGAATATCTTTATGAAACAAAGAAAGAAAAGTACAGTATAATGTATTATGTATGTAGGTATTTCAGAACTCAGTGAGGTATATGCTGCCTTCAAGCCTGTTTAAATATTGTAATTTCAATATCATGGTTGGAATTAAAAGGACATTATGGACCATTTTTCTCTTTTTCGTTTCCCAAGGACAGGAAGCTTGTTTAGAACTAGTGCACTAAAAAGCAGTGCAAATGAGGTATAACAGATTCTATACACACTACTGAAGTTTGAAGTCAGTACGTTTTTTTTAAGAAATGAATATTTTTATTCAGAAAGGATGCATTAAATTTATCAACATGACAGCAAAACATTTTTAATGTTACAAAAGATTTATATTTCAAATAAATGCTATAAGAGATATCATTCAAAAACAGTAAAACATTTTAAACAGTAGTGTGTACAGTATGTAATTTATCATTCCCGTGCAAAATTTTCTGCCCTGATTGTGTAATTACATGCCCACAACTCGGAATATTGGAGATCAAAGAAAACCTAGTTTCTCTTTGGTACTTATGACATTGTTTGAGTGTTCAGGTGCACCTATTTCATACTGTAATTGATATGAGTTGAAGGCAGCAAGACAATCTGTGGTTACAACATGCAAGACAACCAGAGGTTTGTTGAGTAGTCAGAGAAAACAAGTCCTCAGGAGATTGCCGAAATTACTTCTGTAATTTTATAAGGAAATGCTATCTAATGTTTGAACTATTTATGTGTAAGTGTTACAGAGCCAGAGATATCAGGAAAGAAAATGAAGACAAAGTCAGGAAAAGTGTGTGCTAATATGTGTTTTGGCCCCAAGAATGTACCATCATTAGTTCCAGTGTTAATTTATGTAAAATTAAATTCATTTCAGTGCATTCCCAGACTCCCTGAATCCTAGCACTTCCTTGCTAACATGCTTATGGCTGTCTGTTTTGTATTTGTATACAAATATATAACATATGAGTTACTCTGACTGAAACTAGAGGACAAAAGAAACATTACACTGCCTGTCTACCATTTCTAATGATGTATGTGTATATGTGTGTGTATGTGTGTGTGTGCGTGCGTGCGTGCGTGCGTGCGTGCGTGCGTGCGTGCGTGCGTGCGTGCTCTTACCCGGTCTGTATGACCAGGAGCAGCTGCCAGAACTTTCCCCTGTCTCCAGTCCCACACACAGATTGTGTTTTTAGAGTCCAAGCCCACAGACACCAAACACTGCAAACACAAGAATACGAATGAAAACTAAGAAAACAAATGATATGTCCTGCTCATAGAGAGCTAAAAAAAAAAAAAAAAAAAAAAATAATAAAAAACAACAACTGATGTGTTTAGCTTTAACCATAATCAAACAAAATTGAACCAGCTAACCAAAGTGTTCGAGATTGCTTAACCAAAGATTCTGGTTAAAAATGGCCACTAACAACCAAGGTGTGATTCTTTCTCAAAAGCTTAGGAGGGTGAAACATTGCAGGTAGGTGTTTTGGAGCAGGACTGGAAATGAACTCTACAAAAAGGAAGCACTCCAGAAGCAGGGTTGGCTAGACTCTAAGCTGATATTTCATAACTCTAGGCTGTTTATAGCTGCTTAGCAACACAACATACTGTAGTGCATGATATTGACTTCAACTGAAGTGCACTCACAGGAAACCTGTTCTGTGAATCATCAAGAAGTTAAAATGTAAAAAGATGAGCACTGTGTCAAGTCAAGCAATGTGATAAAATACAATATTTTATATTGTATATTATATGTTGTGTAAAATGGATGGATGGGTTTAATCAATTATTATTGGTTTTATGTGACTTTTTTAATGATTATATGTGACCCTGGACCACAAAACCAGTCTTAAGTCGCTGGGGTATATTTGTAGCAATAGCCAAAAATACATTGTATGGGTCAAAATTATAGATTTTTCTTTTATGCCAAAAATCATTAGGATATTAAGTAAAGATCATGTTCCATGAAGATATTTGGTAAATTTCCTACCATAAATGTATCAAAACTTAATTTTTGATTAGTAATATGCATTGCTAAGGACTTCATTTGGACAACTTTAAAGTCGATTTTCTCAATATTTTGATTTTTTTGCACCCTCAGATTCCAGATATTCAAATAGTTGTATCTCGACCAAATATTGTCCTATCCTAACAAACCATATATCAATGGAAAGCGTATTTATTCAGCTTTCAGAAGATGTATAAATCTCAATTTTGAAAATTTGACACTTAAGACTGGTTTTGTGGTCCATGGTCACATATATATATTTACCCTATTTAAAATGTAATACTGTAAGTAGTATAACTATTTCAGTTACTTTATTAATGTATGTATTTTTTCTCTAATTTTTTCAGGCAGGGTTAACCTTACAGTAGTACTCAACACTGAAAATCAAAATCCGTCTACTTGAATTAAGATTATAATAATTTAATTTTAAATCACAGCCACCACAACATCAAACTTCAACACCTCTTTTTACTTTGAAATCGTTCTGAGGTTAAATACAGATTTAAAACCATAACAAGAAATAGTTTAATAGCTGTTATACTATTTTTGAAATAAAACTTTTGCATAGCTATGACAGGAAACACTGGCATCTAACAATGCCTTGGGGGGGAATGGTTAATTTAAAAAATAAAGCATATACATGAACCCAAATAGGAAATAAAACAGTTATTAAATAAACATGTGTCCTATTCTGTGCCCTAAACTCCAGAAACACTGGTGTCTCTTTTTTTTTTTTTTTAGAGCAGACAATGCAATTTTGGAAAGAAATCAATCAAATCTGTATGTGTGTGTGAAAATATTCAGATGTAACCCCCCTTTGCAATCGTTAACATTGTCATATGTAACTGTAACATAATTACATATTTTTTCAGAATCCATCCCGACTCTCAAGAGATTAAGCATTTAAAGCTATTATTTCATTATTGTGCATAGGTGTGGCCGTTAATATAGTTATTGTTATAGTTATCACTCTTGAATGGCCTTTAACATTGTAAAACATGAATCTGCTACCATCTATATATTTCCAACCACTGGAACTAAAATGCCAGAAGCTTCTCAAAACCTAATTGTTCTCTCAAACTGTGCACAAATCATCTGTAATCATCGCAAATGTTTGTTGAGGGGACCTCATTAGTTCAGCATCCCTTTGATGTGAGTTTGCTGTTTTCCACCTCCGTCCCATCAAACCTGATCACCGGTTTTCTTCTGAGGTTTCACCACGCTGGCTGAGGCTAAAACGGACTGCCTTCGGTCAATTATGGGATGCTAAACCTTTGATGAATTTGAGAAGAAAAGTGTTGCTTTAGACACCCCTGGGTCTTTGAGGCAGCGTCTTGCCGTTCCTCTCTTTGCCGTTTCATCCATCGGTGTGAAATAAATGATGAGGCCAATTTCCTGCTGAAACTCTGCAAATCACTTTCTCCGCTGGGGGGAGGTGAGGGCTGAATTCTCTCAGATAAAGTGAGGGTGAGCATAGAAATGTGAAATGTCAATCTCAGAGGTACAATTTTTCATTCCATACCTCTATCATCTCCTCTAGTGAGTTGGAGTGCTTTTGATGAATTGACACTGTTCCCAACTCTCATCCACTTTAGCCTTTTATTGTGCAATGTTACGAATTCAATATCACAGTTACACTGAATGCATTACACACTAACACCTGTCTACACAGTATGATATTTGCGTTTTTGATCAGATAAGGCTGGTTGAGGTCCCTGCTGCTAATATCACACTAACTACTTACCAGAAAATAATTTTAATAATAACATTACTACTGTGAATAAGTATAATTACTGATAATATTACTCATGAAAATGCACATTTTAATGGTACAATAACATTAAAAATGAATATACCACATTTCTGACTAAATCTGACTGGTTACAGTTAGGGATAACTGTGTGTGTGTGTGTGTGTGTTTTATATAGTCTGTTGCACTATATGTTTGTAACCTGTTTAAGGAAAAAGTGTGGGTGTGATTCAGTAGGGACGCTGAAAAAAGCCCACTTGGATTCAAATGAATAATGCTGCTTCATTCTGTTTTTGTTTGCCATTTGATTTTTTTAATTCGCAAAAATAATAGCAGTGTATAATCATGGAGAGTAGGGCAACTTGGCACTAGTGTGACCTTTAACAAAATTCACTCCCACCGGCAGAAACCAACCATTCAGTCATAGGCTGGAGCCCTAAAAAGGAGGCAGCACGATTGTGTGTTCTGTCAAAGCAAATAGATCCAAAGAAAGAGACAGCAGAACCATTTCAACACACAGCAGTGTTGTTTCATTCCTGAATGTTTCAGTGTTTTTGGACAAATCGGTTGAGTAAATGATTCAAAGACTAAATGATTCAAAGAACCAGCATTTTTGAACAAATTGAGAGAATGATTCAATAACTCATCTATAAAGACAGACACTTCATTTGTTTCTGAGTCAGCATTTTTGTGCTAACCGATTGAGTGAATAATTAAATGACTCACTCACAAAGACAGTTACTTGCATTTTTAAATCAACTGAATGAAAGATTCAATTCCTGAAATGTGCAAATACAGATACAACAGTGAAAGTCTCAGTGCTGTGGGACTGATGTATCAGCACTCTTGGAATGCTGTTTGACCAATCAGATTCAAGGACTGCAACTAAATCAAGCGTAGAGTTAATTCTGGCAGGTCACGTTAGTCAAGCTCGCATCAGCTGACCTTCAGCTGATCCCCATCTACCTATGGGACTACGACACCTATCTAAGCATTCATATATAAGGTCCCTCAGTATTATCAGCAGTTTTCGCATTGCTCAACAGCTAATTACCCTCCTCCATCCCCAACTCCTCCTATGTCAGTCGGGATTCAGCTTTCTGATTCTCCTTGAATCAGACTAATTCTAAAATGTGTACATAAAATGATTGAACTTTAACAATATCTGCAATACATTTATGTTAGTTCTGTTCTGTTTACCCTGGGGGTTATTGCTGCTCTCCCTGTTTTCATCCATGCTAGGCTGCATGGATGCGCAGGGAGTTCTTGCCCAGAACAGAACCATACCGCCAATCCAAACTGTATGCTAATTGTCAATCATCTCTGACGATAGTGGTCCTGACAGAACTGTAGTATCATGAGCTTTAAAACACTGCTTAACTTAGTCGACATGGGGCAGTTCTTACTAAGTGCAGCATCAAAGGTTTTTTCAAAAAGCTCTAAAAATTAAAGTTCCACAGTTTTACTGAACAATGTTGAAGTGTAGTCATCCAGAAAGTGCAGCAAGAACATATCAGTATATGATGTAAGTTTCTAAAGCCATTATCTTCTAAACCCTTAATGCTGCTTTATGTTCTTGAGTTCTTGAGTTCATCAGTTTATGTTATCACTGAGGATTTTGTGTGTTGTTTCTGTCTAGGTGACAACCAGCAGCTCTGGCAGACACACAGTTATACAGTCTGACACGTACTGTCACACTGTGGGAGTCACACCGTTGGTGTGTTCGCAGATGTGACTTCAACAACTAATAATAAACTTCACAGCACCTTACAGCACCTCATACTGAGAGATGAAACTTACGAGTTCTTAACAATGTCAGCTCCTTGGTATAAAGATAAATCTTTCTTATTGCAGTATGTTATTGCTCAGAACATTTACCTGTCCATCAAGGTCGAAGGCGAGACAGGCGATACCGTGTGTGTGCATGTCCTTCAATATGGACACTGTCTGCACAGTATACGAGTCCCACACACAAATATACGGCTCCTTTCCAACCTGTCCTGTGGCCACCAGCACTCGCTCTGGATGCAGGGCTAAACTGTGGAAAGAGAATTACAGTGAAGTTAAAATATTAAGTGGCAAATTAATCATCAAAAAGTGTGCAGTGTCCACCTTGTGCAGTGGTTTGTGTGATTTGATTGCAATCCAATCCAAATGCGTTTCGGGTAGCATTTACAATACGCTTTAAAACGCTTTAAGTGCCACCTGCTGGCAGAGAGTGAATCTGCGTCAAAACGTGAATCGAATCAAATCGAATCGTGAATCAAATTGAATCGTGAGTTGAGTGAATCGTTACATCCCTACTTATATATTGTAGACTCTTAAATGATAATTATAGGAAAATAATTGGAAAGGCAGCAGCCTTTTTTGAATGAAGTGGTTAGAATACATTAATGTCTATTCATTTAGCTAGAGATGGCAGAATGCTGTTTATTAGCATATTTTTTGTCTAATAGGCTAATCAGCTTACTTGGCTGCATGTGCAATACAATATGTCATAAATGTAGCAACATAGCGTTTTGTCATGCTACACTATGCTCCTTGTTGGAAATCATAGCTCATTACTGGAAAAGCTACACCATTATGAAAACATCATGAGTTACTGTCACGCTACTATTGCTACTTTTAGCTTCTCTTTAACACGGTTTCAAACTTTAAAGAGCAGAGGGTGAGTTGAGGTGGATGAAATGTTGAAATAAGGCTGTTTTTTATAAACTATGTAAGGAACTTCTATTTGGAGCTCACTGAAAAATATTTATTTTGCGCTGTTTGAAGCCACGCTCATCTAGGCCTTTGACCTGTCCAAGAGACACAATTTCACCAACAATTTAACATTGAATATCTGTCAAAATGTCTCCCTGTTCTTGAGAGAGTTCTGGTGCCTGTCTCTCCTGCTCTTGATGCTGTGTGTGTGTGTATGTGTGTTTATATTCAGCAAGAGTTTCCAGCTCCCACAGTCTGAGCCTTCAGATGAAGCTTTTAAAGCCTGCCAGGGTGATTCTGCTTGGCAGTGAAGAGGAGTGACTACATTAAAGCCCTGAGGGAGCTGTACTGCTCATGAACATCACTGTGTGTCTGCCTTGTCTGTCTTTCTTAATCTGCCTCTCTCGCTCCCAGATTCTCTTTTCTCTTATACCTCTTTCTACACCAGCAATTCTCAACCACAGGTACAAGTGCTTGAGCAGGTTTCAGGGCAAACTTTGAAAAGACAAATAAAAATATTACTGCTGTCATATGATTAATATAAAAACCTATTCTCATGATTTTTGTAGTCATTTTTACATTTATATCATTTTACATTTTATATAATTTTTATATTATTTCATTACTTATTTTAAATATTAACTTCATTTTAATTAATTAAAATAAATTACTGTAACATTCAATTTCTTAAAAAAAGAAAACAAAATAATATATATAACTTTTGCCAATTTGTTTGGTGTACAAGTATTTATTTAATATTATTTATATAATATAATATTACATTATTTATTTGTATCTTGAATATTAATAAACAGCTTTTATTTTTGTTTTTATTTTCATTTAATTTTTTAATAATTTTTTTATAAATATATATTTTTAAAATTATATTATTTTTTAATAAATTTATTTTTAATTTCTTAGCTTGAACATATTTTATTTCGGTTAATTGCCAAGACACATTTTTTTTTACTTTTATTAAGTTTTCAGTTCAAGTTTACGGAGCCCCACACATGACATGCAGGAAAAAAATTGTAAATCATAATTCGTTCCCTCTTTTTACTTGATTCAACTAAAACGTGGCCACGATTTAGTATTGTCTTGTGCACGATTTAGTAAAATGAGGGAACGAATTATTATATCGTGCGTACAATTTAAAGGGGTCATATGATGTTGCTAAAAAGAGCATTATTTTGTGTATTTGGTGTAATGAAATGTGTTTATGCGGTTTAAGGTTCAAAAAACACATTATATTCCACATACCGTACATTATTGTTTCTCCTCTATGCCCCGCCTTTCTGAAACGCATCGATTCTTACAAAGCTCATCGGTCTGAAAAGCGAGGTGTGCTCTGATTGGCCAGCTATCCAGTGCGTTGTGA